GAAGGTGAGAGTGCTATAACTGGTTGCGGACCGAGGAATACAACATGGTCCGACCCCTCTCTGGTCAAACAATCAGATGCCTCATTACCTGGTACTCTCAAGTGACCTAGCACTCAGACAACTAAGACAAGTTCGTTATCTTTTCCAACATAATAGTATAGTCGAAATTTGCATAGCCGGACCACTCTGGAAGTAGTTCCACCACGTAGCCCATGGCTTTGAGGATGGCAAATACCGAGCTTTGGAACGGCGAGGCATATTCGCTTAGATAAAAGTGAATCATCAGAACCTGACTTAGTGCCGACAGTGTGTAAGCCTAAGCTCAGTATTGGAATTAAGCCTGCATTCAGCCTCACTCTGCCTTAAGCCTGAACTCAGCCTTTTAGAATCTTCTCAGCAAATATAATGGTGGCGTACTATCCTGGGGGCATTCAAAACACTCATAGCAATCTCCGCCTCTCCCCACTCAGTATCACACCAACATCAACTTCTTTTAAACCTGCAGGTGACCTCTCCTGGTATGAAGGTCCATAGTAAGATGTGTTGTAGAGAAAGCAAGCAGATTTCCCATGCCGTTCCGGAGGATACCCCTTGGTGACAGATGGCACTGCTTCCAAGTGAACAATACAAGTTCAATTTCAATACGACTACAGAGCTCGCAGACCACTAAGTAATCAAATTCAAGTACCCATGGATTACAACATAAAGTCGTTCGCGAAAGTGAAGATCCGCTCGAATTGAAGAGCTTGAAAGGGTTCATCGGTCCACCAAGCGACGATCATCTATAACAGATCGCTCATAACTATTTTTTATTTGATACCCTTATTGTAATTCTCTACCCATATTTAGCTCAAGGGGTGGGCATGTTATTTAAGAAAAAGGCACTATTAAAGACTGCTCCACATATCCTTTTTCAATTCACATCAATATGAGTGTTTTTTCCAATATAATCTTTAATTTTGTCGAAGAGTAAATCATTTCATTTTTCCCAAAAAACATTTTTGTCTACGGATATATCGCCTGACATTGGGTAAAAATAATTGAATTGAAAAATAAATGTACAGCTACTTGTTAATGTTGTTTCGAATGTTTTTGCTAATTAAATAACAGCAACACATTAGCCGTACTTTTTTCTTAATCGTCATTTATCAACATCTGACGAAATTGCGAAAGGTTTGCATAATTTTGCTTTCGTTGTAAAATTTGTTCGTTTGTTTTGCAGTTCGCTTGAGTGGGCTATGATTTATGATTTCATTATCAGTTAGCATTATCGCTGATATGTATGTACTTTGCTTTTTATTTGTTGGAATTTTTTTTTCGTTTTGAGCACTTAAGTTAAGTGGAGGAGCGATTTACTTTGAATTTGTTAGTAACATTTTATCAAAAGCTTTATTATTTCACTTTTTTTTTAACTTGGGAAAGACCTAAAAAATTATCTTAAATTAAAATGCTCTACTATGCACTGTCAGAATATGTGACCTGGTCTACGGAAAGGGGGCTTAGGTGTAAAAAAATCAATTTTCACTTTTTGGTTGATTCGGATGGAAGATGAGATGCTTTTTCACGTGGTGAAAAGCAGAAAATCCTAACTTGCTTAGAAGTGTACTAAAAATGTAGAGAAAGAAGAGTAAAAATACGACAAAATATAATTTATTGGTAATGAACAAAATACATTGAATTATAAGCTATAAAGACATGATTATACACTAGAAAAACGTNCATATATAAAACTCAGTACTCATCATAGGTTATGTCGTTCGAATGTACACCGGCGCTCCGGCTCTGAAATTATTCAGCTAGGAATCCGTTGGTGGTAGGAGAGGGGAAGAGAGTGGCCGTCGCCACTGCGATTGAAAAACCAAGTGGAGAAGGACTTGGCTTTACTTGGCATTTACAATTGGTATCAGTTGGCACAGAAGAGAAACGACTGACGATTACAGCGCCAAATAAGAAGAATAAGATTGATTTTATTAAACTGCATACTTAGACAATAATTACAGCTGATCCTAAACATGTACTACTATCGTTAGCCTATTCACTAGATACACAACCCATTGCCATCTCTTCTTTGCCTGTTTCAGTTAGTGTATTTGTATCAGAGTACATCCCAGTGCAGCTGTTGCTATGACCAGGGACTCAACCACCAGCGACAAACATTGATTGAGTCATCGAGTATATTTAGAACGACATGTGTTCTTTAACTAACTTGGCATTGTTTTTTATTTTTTTTTATTTTTTTAGAAGGCCCACAGGTACCTAGAACACTTCGAATTGGCATATGCTAGCGTGCATTTCCAGCCGCAAGGAATACGCGATGAAAAGCTCCTCGGAATCCTCTCAAGATTCCTGTTATTAGTTATCGATTTCCTTAGTTTCATTTAGAAAATTTCGAATTTCTGCTTACATGCATTACTTAAGTAGTATTTCTAATTAGTTTCATACTCAAATTCTGAGTTCAAGCAGAGTAGCAATCATAGAAAAAGCATTCAAAAATTTTCAAAACAATATCAAATAATGCCAGCCAAACGATTTGGTAGCAAAAATTACTCAGGCGTAACTATTTTAAGCGCTTCACGGTTATTATCAACAAAAGTTATTAGATTTAACTACACAAACAAGCGGCTGGCTGGCTGAGCGGTTGAAGCGCAACGCTACGTGTAGGTAAGTATATGGCTGGCTGATGATATGGAAATGCTTTACAAAAAAAAAATATTATATAGTACACAAGTATGTATGTATTTATGTATGTAAGTGCGAGTGCTGTACGAGTAACATAGTATGCAAATAGCTAGCGCCGAGGTAGTAAAGTATGTACATATGTGAACTTTAATGTTTAGTAATACAGTCACTCCCGCATAATTGAACATGCGAAAAGGCAATTGATTTTGTTTAATTATGCGGAGCGTTTAATTAAAGTGGTGCTCTTAATAGATTTTCATTTTTTTGTTCGAACTAGTGGTGAAAATAAGCAGGGGGAAACACTTAAGTGGGGACCAGTTAACCGGGGAATACTGTATAGCGATATAGAAATGTACAAAAGTATATACCGATGTACATTTACCTCATCTATAGAGTATTAGCGCACTTTTCGATAGAAACAGAGCAACGGCAGCACAGCGAGAAGTACATAAACTATCCCATATGCAAACATATGTATATACAGTGCCGGCCACTTGAATAGCGCGCCCTTTTGATCCGCGCTATTGCCAGTTTTCCTTTTTCATTTAATATTCGTTTATTTTTTTATAAAAATATAGCATATACTATAGCAAAACCATGTAAAGCCGTTTTTCAAACTTTAGACAAAATTTTTTTTTAATTCGACAAATTTTCATTAAAATTTCAAACTTAAAAAAAAATTTTTGAGTATGCAGTTTTGTAATTTTGGTCACTTACATGCATATTTAAGTACATTAAGGTGCCTCACCAAAAAGGCGTGGTTTTTTCACCGGCATTTTTGAAATTTTTTACATTTAAAAACTTCCCCCAAAATATTTTGGAAATATTTGTACTAAGATTTACGTGAGCTGGGCCGATTTGAAAAGACTTCGAAAAATCGAGTTTTTTTTATAAATAAAATTAGTTTTTAAAATTATTTTCTCCAAAAAATTACCCCAGTTTAGGATATAATATATTTTATAATTCCTATGGAAAAACAGTACGGATTTTTTTTTTTTGTGTGAAGAGTAATGCTTCCTAATGTACATTTGCGGTAAGCCATATAAACTAACCTAAAGAATTTATTGCCTTAAAACGAACTATTTACTGAAAAATTCTCCCATTTGGGAAGATTTTTATTCCAATTTAAAAATTTTATTTTTCATTGAAAATATTATAACTACTAAACCGTTTGAGGTATACTCTTGTAGGGAATTAAATTCTCTAAACAAATTACCCTGAATTTGATTGTCTTAGAGACGATCGAACTATGACGACAGACGAAGAGCAAAAGCAATTTATTTTTCGTGTAGTCCAATTGCATCGCCAGCAATATCCTAAATTCCAAATGGGAGAATTTTCTTCACTGCAGTATCACCTATTTTAAGTTCAAAAATTCGTTAGGTTAGTTTCTTAGTAATTAAATTTCGAAAAAATTGTATGGCATGTTCGATTCTAAAAATTGTGAACAAACTATATACCAAAAAAAAATTTGACTCTCCCAATTATTAAAAGCAAAATCTATGTATTATAATTTTTTCTAAGCGAAATAAATTTTTCATTTACAAAATTTTGCGTTTCCTTCATACAATATACTGCTTTTTCTTTCGAAAATTGGGAGGGTCGAGTGCCATTTTTGGCATATGGCTTGTTCGCTATTTTTTCTTAGAACTAATCGTAGAATTTGAATTTGCTGTACACTTTTTTCGAAAATTTTGCTACGAAACAAATTATTCCGCCCTAATGTACATGCTTGAATACGTGCTCCATTATATGTTTACCTTCGGCAAAACAAATTCTCAAAAATTAACCAGCACCTTATTATACTAAAATTTAATGGACTATAAAACACCAAAATAGATTTTTTTTAACTTAAAATTTTGTTAAAAATTTGATGAATTATTTATTGTTGAGAATTTACATGGTTTTTCTTATAGAATATGCTACATATATTATTTATATATGTAAATAATTTATGCATATTAAATAATTAATACTGATGCTCAAAAGCGGGCGCTATTTAAGCGGCCGGCACTGTATAAATAATAAGGAAAATATATGAAACAAAAATTGTGAATAAAAAAACATGCCGCTGCAAATACGGTAAAGGTCAATTTTATATAAATAACAAGCGAAATGATAATTTTTAATGAAAGCGGCAGCAACAACAATAATGATCGAGCACTTTTGTGTATGTAATTTGCAAAATAATAAAATTATACATTTTCAAAGGAAAAACGAGCATAAAAACAAACAAATTCATATTTATAAAATATCATTAAAACGACACACATCGGTCGTACTTATAACACAATTATTTTGAATGAATAGATCAGCGAAAATATAGCAAATTTCAACACGAAATTTATTATTGCACAAATGCGATCAGTTAAAACGCAAACGTTGGCGAATACGGAGTAAAACAGTTCGAACTAAATCTGTAGTGCCACAAAAAAAGCTAACATATTTTTGTTTTTCAAAATCTCCAAATAAGTCTTAAAAAATTTACCTACAACCAAAACTCAACACGAAAAATGCACTTTAATGCCCTACTGCTAGCGCTTTGCCTGTTCGCGCTCTACGCCGCCGTGCGCAGTCAGGACAATGTAGACGCTGCTGATGAGAGCAACTCAACTGAGGAGAGCATTGAGCTTAATTTACTACCAGCGGAGGAGAACAATGTCGCGCCACCCAAAAGTGCCAGCGCAGAAACGACAGCCACATCACCTGGAGCACAAACGCAAACGACGAACACTTTCGAGGCGTCACGCCCACGGCTGCGTAATATCAAAACGCTGGATAATCACTGCATCGAATATCTTTGCATCGGTTTCCACTACGAACGCCCAGATGAGGTGGCATTTTTCGACATCAAGGACGAAGTGCGTATCAATGGCGCTGACGCCACCTACGACATAGTCAATGCGCGCAACTACGACACGCTCATCTTCGAGAATTCGACATTCGCGCGCTTTCCGCTCAACCTATTCTATGCCATCAGCATGAGCGTGCTGGATATGCGCAATTGTTCCGTACAAGTGCTGACGTGGGAGTGCTTTTTGATGGCGCAAAATTTGCGCGGTCTCATTCTCTCCGAAAATCGCTTGCAAGCGATCGAGCCAGCGACCTTCAAATTCGCCAGCGAGCTGCATGAACTCTATCTCGACTCGAATCGCTTAACGCAACTGCATCGCGATAGTTTTGAGGGTCTTTCACGCTTGCGTTACTTAGATTTGCGTCACAATCGGCTGACGTTGCTGCCGGTGGGCGTGTTTGATCATTTGGCCGCCCTCGAGGAACTGCTGCTGGACGATAACCGCCTGCGCACGCTAAACGATCAGCTCTTTCTCAATAATCTAAATATGTGGATATTGTCGGTGGGTGAGAATCGCTTGGTGCATATTGATGAGAATGCGCTGAGGCGTCAAGCGCGTCTGGTGATCTTAAACATTGGCTACAACAATGAGCTACGCACCCTGGTTTTGACGCTGCAGTTGCAACATTTGGTGGCGACCAATTGCGCTTTGGAGCGCATTAACATTTACGGACACGTGCGCAACGCTGATCTCAGCTACAATCACATACAGGAGCTGTACTTCGCGCAGCCGGAGCAGTTGGAGATGCTGAATCTACGCAATAATTCACTGCAGCAGATTGCCTCCTTGTCTCGCGCAACTAATCTAAAGCTGCTCGACTTGGGCGACAATCCCGAATTGGGCACACTACCCACGCCTTGGCTAGCCAACGCTTTGGAGCGATTGGATCTCGGCAATACGGGTTTGGCGCAGCTGCCCGTGGAGGCAATCGCCGCGCAAGAGCATCTCAATTTTCTCAACGTGTCCTATAACCGTTTGCGCGAGATTAATCCGCAGAACTTCAAGTATTTGGAGCATTTGAGTCACTTCGACATACGCGGCAATGAGTGGAATTGTTACAATTTAAATATTCTGATGGATGTGCTACTCAAGCCACTCAACATCATCTACGGCTATGACGCAGTAGATCCCGAGTTTCCGGGCGAATATGTGAACGACATCGCGTGTATGTATCGCTTGGAGGGGGAGCAGGAGGAAGATTCGAATGGCAGTGGCAGTCAGCTGGTGGAGATGGTGAATGGACAGAAATTAAGTCAACCCGCGCAGTTACAAGCGTTGCCGCTACAGGACGCGGAGACTTTTCGCCGAGAACTCAAGGCTATAGTGGGCATTTATGAGCAGAAATTTGATCGTGCTTTTCGCATGATCGAAGATTTGAATGCGCGTTTGCGCGCTTTTGAGCGCTTTAATGAGACACTGTTTCAGCATGCCATGATTACGGTCTGAATTTGTGTGAATAAAAATTGTATTCTAAAACTTTTTGTAGAATTGATCGAATTGTTAATCCAAACTGTATTTGTGTTGTATTTTGGAAAAATAAATTACGACCCGTTTATCAAAGAGCTTTTAAGCTTTTCGGGAACTTTCAAATTTGACAGTACCGGATATTCTTTGCTTTGAGAATTCTAGGACTTTCTAGGATTCTTTCGTGACTTTTCGTGATCTTTTAAGGCTTTTACATTTAACACTCATTTTTTTATGAAAACAATGGAGAGAAAAATTTACCAGTCATACTCTGCTCAAAATATATAAGGTCCATTTTGCCTGTTTAGAACATTTCGGGATTTTCCGAGTGCTATTTTTTTATTTTTTTTGAACCTTACAGTCCCGTACCTTTGTGAAATTTTCGTGATCTATCAAACTCAAAAAACAGTTTTATCTTTTTTGTCTGTTATGAGTGCCGAAAAAATAAACAGTAAAAATTTCCGATTGTTCTCCGGTGAAAAAGGTATCAGACAAATTTTGCTTTTCATTTCTGCCTTAAGAAATAAGAATTAAAAAAATTTTTAATATTTTCTTGCTAAAAATCGGCCTAATAAATATCAAAAGCGTATTAAGTTTCTTAGCATTTTTTTTTATAAAATGCACACTCAGGGCGGTCGCTCTGGAAGAGAAATGGCAATAAGAATCCAAATGAAATTCTTTATCGAATAGTACATATGCATAACGTCAACTATAGCGATAGCATAACGATAACGATAAGTATCGACACCAATAACGATAAATATCGATTGCTAATGTAATGGCGATGATGAGTTCGAAAAAAGAAACATCTTTCTCTACCAAAAAATAATTATTTATTTATGTAATGTATATACACCTCATCTAACGGATTTTCCAGTTCGTATTCTCACATTTTTATTAATTTCAGGTGATTTTAAAAGACAAAGAGTAACTGTTGTAAAAAAAAAAATATGTTACACACATTCTGAGCACGCGGTTGTATTAACGGAAGTTGTAACTGTTCATAATTGTATTTAATTTTCGCATTTCGGGCACCTAAAAACATATGTAGGTAGGTATCCACATTAGGGAGTCTCACTAAAACAAAGTTATAAAATTTATTACATTTAAAGATTTCCGCCAAAATACTTCGGAAGCATATTAAGATTTACTTGAGCTAGATCGATCTGAAACTCCAAAAATTTACATTTTCTTATAAATAAAATTAGTTCTTAAAACAAACAAAAAAAAACTAATGGGGCATATTCATAAAATCGACTTTAAAGTGAGTTTGCTCCTTTTTTGACAGATATTTCATTAAAAATTATTATGTCAAAAGCCGCAGCTAACTTTATAGGCGACATTATTCTGACCCATTTTGTCCAAAAAATTACCTCAGATCAAAGAAGATATTAAGCTTAAAATGCCTGCAGAAAAATGTTTGCACATTTTATCAACGCAATGAAAATAATAAGAATTTGGGAGGCATTTTCTAATCGCTTGAGCTCACGCAAATCTTAATGTTTTTTCGAAATATTATGGGAAAAGTCTTAAAATATAATAAATTTTATAATTCCATTTTTTTTTTTGTATGGATACTCTTCATCCTAATGTACATACCTAAATAATGGGGCACATTGTATGTAATTTCTATCACATATGCGCATACCTAACTGTTGGTTATTCGATTTTACGCAATCGTTTTTTTTTTTTTTTTTGTATAATTAGTTGCATTTATCACACAGTTTTGACATGGAAAAGTTGTTTTATATTTAGGCAGAGAAAAACGGCTCCAAAAATTGTCGAAAGATATCATTTCCCTTCATGGTAATTCAGAGGGTTTTTTTTCATTATTCCGTATTCCTTAAGGGCAGCACATCACTATGTGAAATTATCGATCTGCCTGTTAGCAGTGTACTGCACGCGGCAATATTATGACAAAATCGCTTTCAAAATCGAAGCAAAAACAAATTTTCCGCACTAGATTTGCATATTTTATTTTCGCTTTGGCATTAATTGTATGACTTATGTACATATTTTCTATTCATGCAAAAAAAAAGAACCCGAGGCAATGTAAGGATAACATGTTTAATATTTAGGTAGTTTTTAGTATTTTCTATAATGTACATAGAATATATCTAACACACAATTTTCTAAAAAGCAATAGGACCTAAACCTTTTATACTTCACATAAATTTCTTTCTACATATCGTTACCTTAATACAGAAAGGCCCTATCTCACATCGTCGCTGAAATACAAAAAGCCGTAACTAAGTAAAAATCCCAAATTCCCTTTTTAATTGATTATGATACATTTTATCGAATTTATAAGTCCCCACATCATCTTAAGCAATAAAAAATTTTAGTCAGTTACGGCTTTTTTGCATTTCAACTACTTTATGAGTTAGGAGTTAGGGCCTTTCTATATTAAGGTAACGAATATACTTTTTAACAACTTAAGTAAAGTTCTGCATCCACCAATTTCTACACCCTTATTAGAGATGGGCAAAACACGTGATTTTCTACGTGGCACGTCGCGTCACGCTTTTGCACGCATGAGCGTTAGTGATTTTTAAGAGAAATATGACGTTACTTCCGTGATCTTGCGTGACTGAAACTTTGGCTGGCGTGAACTTGCGTGAGTTAGAAGAGTCTCCGTCAATCACGTAATTTGCACATATCGAGCTCCAAACGCCAAAAATATGTAAGCGAAATTTTTTTTCAAAATTTTCCTTTTGATGCAGAAGAAAGACGTGCACAACGGCTCGGTGATAACCTCGACAAAATATTATTTTTAAACAAAAATATGAGTTAGTCATTTTAAAATAGCATTGAATTAATATTGATGTGAATTATTTTCTAAACTCGTAGCACATAGTGCGTATATCTGACATTTGTAAAATAAACAAAAATGCTAGTGCGTTCCTCCCAGGCTAGGCGTTTGGCCAAGCTTTTGTAAATAAAGTTTCAATTTGAAAAAAAAAAAAAAATCCGTGAAAAAGCGTGCGTGAGCATGCATGACTAAAAAAAAATAGGCGTCGTGAGCGTGCGTGATTTGCAAAACCCTTAAACGGGAGCGTGCGTGAACGTAAGCCAAAATCACTCACACGCCCATCTGAGTGAGTTTTTACTTAACTTTAAATTTTTTTACTGAAATCCGGGGTGAACACTCAAAAAATGGGCCCAACAGGGGCAGAACATTAATTAAAAAACGGAATAGATTTAAAGTCAAACAGTGCAGAGGAGTAGATTTAAATTTTTTTCAAAAACCGGAGTGAATCTAGTCTGATCACAGATGTAAAGTCCGATCACTGGTAGGGAACGCATATTTCAATTTCAATGCTAATGAGTTAAGGGCTGATTTAATTCGTTTCAATTTTCGGAAATTCGAGGCAACGCCTAGAACTTAAAGGCCCGTCCACATAGAACTTTGGCGTTGCGTTGGCGTTGGCGTCGCTTCAACAGCTGACTATGAATACATGAATTCAAACGCAGCCGTCCACATAGCCAAAATTCGACAACGCTCACGCCAACACAAAGCAAAAAGATGGCCAACTCTCATCTTTTCGCGTGCGTCGCTCGTCAGCTGTTGCAAATAAATAAAATTATGTGAAATATTTTCCTTTTTAATCAAGTGCGGGCAAGAAATATCGTTTTTAATGCAATTATTGATATGAAATATTAATTTATCTGTCGTTAGTATGTTAATGTAGTGGCCCAAGCATTCGCTGCCAAGCGCTCATTGTAGCAAGCATACTTTTAACGTGCGTTCTGTCAAACCAACGCCAACGCCAAAGCCAACACGAAAGTTCTATGTGGACCGGCCTTAACTGACAGCAGAAATATGTATGTACTCGTACAAATAACGGCATTTCCACTTGCTTTATATTTGATAAGCAACAATTAGTGCTAATTATTCGAAAATAATAAACCTAACAGAGATGCAAACAAACACATATGTACTTACATACATATGTACATATCGTTACCTTAATGTAGAAAGACCCTAACTCATTTTCTTTCGAAATTTTGCTTTGTAAAAAAGTCGGCAGGCTGTTCAGTAGCAGGGCCTCATAGAATTTAAAAACAGCTACTACACCAATTAATATTTTTAAATGTGTATTAAACACCAACGTTTTGAAGGAATTTGCAACCGAAGAATTTTAGCTTTATGTGAGATAGGGCCTTTCTATATTAAGGTAACGAAACGTATGTAGATGTGATATTAAACAGCTACTAACAAATTTATTTACATGCGACATTTACTTAAATACATAAGTATGTATATATGTATGTACTAGCTGAAACTTAAGATTTTATCTACAATAATTTTTATGACGAGTAGTTTAGTAAAGGTGTTGAACATGTGATCGCGAAATGACACAGCGTTCATTGACGCTGAACGCGCTTTGACGGTTATTTGAGTTTAAGTAACCGTCATCAGGCATAAACCGACTACAAGGATTGTATGACTAAATACTTACTCTGATGTGTGAAGGAATATTTAAGTGACTTGACACTTGAAAAAAGTTTGTTCTCGTATTTTAAAAAGCTGCTATTTGCAAACCTTGTCACATCAGAATATTTCATTTTCAAGGTATAAAAATACGTCATACCGTTGACAATTTTTTGCAAATTATACTTTTAGTTCTCTTCTTAGTTTAACAGCTAGTTTGTAGAAATAATAAACGCATTGATAAGATTAGCACCCACAGATGTTTGGAAGGTCTCCGGTCCTTTTGGATGTCGACTGGTATCAGTATATAGATGTGGTTATTACTCTGGCTATAATCGGGCTGACGGTAGCCTAACGGATGAAAAATAATAACGAGGAGGCCGTCCAGTTGTAGGCGACCGCCTGGGTAACGGCCTTGGACTTCGGTCTACACCACTGCTCGGTTGGTCCACTGAGCTGCTGCTTGCTCACCGAAAATAACCTAAACTAGCAAGATGGAACAACGAGGCCGATGGAGGCATCTCCAGGACGACGTCTGGTCGAAAGTAAGCGAACTCTGCATATCGGTTGAACTCCGTTTGGGCGATCGAGAATATTGTGTTTGACTTTTCTCGTTCACAAACAAAACAAAATGTGTCGATTTTCTAACAAAACTATTTTAAGATGAGCCTGGTGATGCAAATCGGACTTCACTCCCGGAACAAGCCGGTGGAGGTCTGTCCTTCTTCTGCTATCCGGGTAAATCATATAAAGAGTGAGCTGCCCTCAGCCTCCTTTGGCGGAGCCATTGGGCATGATAAAGAAGATTTAGTAATTAGTAGTACTAGTTTAGATGTCCGACGACATAGGACCTCTATCGTCCACCTTCACAAAGAAAGTGTCGTCGACTAATGAGGAGTGGAAGCAAGTTCGGTTTAAACTATAACCCCGTTACCAAGGTACAAAGAATTCATACCGGCTCATAGGAAGCCCGCAAAAACCACCTGTATCTTACCTGTTATTAGCGTAGAGCCGGATTTAGTTTAGCTGCCGAAAAATCCTGAGCCAGGCCTGGAGACTTGTTTACTAGACCTAGTGTTATATAAGGGCATTACACTCTATAAATCACCAAGTCCCATTCGGATCGCCCCAATACTGATAAAACAATTATTTAAGCGAAGTTGAGCGCGGCTATAAGTTATGTTTAGGGGAGTATTAGCCTTAGCCTTTAGTAAAAATATTTCAGATCCATCACTATTTCGTTTTTTCAACTAAAGGTAATGGAGATACTATTAGAGCTCCATAGCAGAGTCGATTGCAGATAGACTCCCAACGACTCAACTCAACTATGTACAGAATTTTTTTGAAAGCTCATACGGAGGAGACATTTTGGGATACTGGAAATCCACCATTGGACTTATTTATCTGGGGCTACGTGAAAAGTTTGGTCTATGCGTCCGGGACAATTCCAGAGTTGAAGTTGACGATGTCATATGCGTTATAAAATGATATACAGCCCGAACGTGATGGACATTTAAAGGATATTGTGTTTCAAACATTCCCCACAATCTTTCGAGATACAAAAGTCTTTCGCAAGATAAATCTGGAATCAAAACCCCTGCTAAATATAATATTTAAGGCCGAAGCGCCAGGTTTTAGACTCAAATTGTTGGTAATTGGTGTTTCCAAAAAACTGATATGATTGACATGGCAGATCCAAGAAGGCGGATATTTTCTTTTAAATTTTTTTATTTTTATAAAACTTAGTACATAGGGGTTTTTGGGATCGCTGATTGCGAATCTGTAATAATTTTTTAAAAAGTAAAAATGGCGGACATATTAAAAAAAAATTTGGTTTTGCATCTAGGGGTTTTTAAGGTCGCTATTAGGAATCTATAATCAGCATTTAAAAATTCAAAATGGCGTATCCAATATGGCGGGTATATTTTTAAAAACTGTTTGGTTTTCGAGACATTTTGCATCTAGGGGTTTTTGGTTTCGCTAATTAAGAAAAATTCGTGACAATTAAAATAAATTCAAAATGGCGGATCCAATATGGCGGACATATTTTTTAAAAAATTGTTTGGTTTTTGTGACAATTTGCATGTAAGGGTTCTTGGGATCGCTGATTACGAATCTATAATCAATTTCAATACGTGAAGACCGCTTCAACCAAGTAAAAAAAATTTCTGCCATATCAGATCTGCCATTTCGAGTTTTTAAAAAGTGACTATAGAGTCGAAATCAGAGACCCCAAGAACCCCTACATGTAATACAGTCCGGAAATAAGAAAATGTTTAAAAAATATGCCCTCCACTAAAGAAAATTAAATTTAATAAAAATTATTAACTATTATAATTTGAATTAATTATAGGAAAAAATAAAAAGTTCCTAAAACTGATTTAAATTAAAAGAAATATTTTTTCTTACAATCATATAATCTAAAAATTAAAAGAGGATTAAATTTAAAAAAAAAAGAAAAAACAAAATAAGACTAAAAATTAAATTTAAAAAAATACTTTTGTAAACAATAAATTCTCTAAAAAGTAAAAGAAAAATTTAATTAAAAAAAAAAACAAATTTAAATATAGTAATTTTCTAAAAATCAAATTAAGTTAAATAAATATGCGTATATATTTTCATTTTTAGAACAATAAAATATAAAAATGATAAGAAAGTTAAATAAAAAAAAAATAATAATTATATAAAAAAAGAAAAATATCCGCTGCCCGAGGAGTCAAACCTCAGATCTCTCGAATGACACGCCAGTGCTTAGCACACTCAGCCATCGTGAAACTTGCACCGATTGTTGCTTTCAACTGAAAGTTGCCTCTAAAATCGCATCATGTAAACACCGTATTGAAAATGCGGTTGAATAACAATATACGCTTTTTCGAAAATCATATGCATTTGGAATATTAAAAATATATGAAAAAATTTTCCAACTATTAAAAATCAATGGAAAATCTTTAAAAAAAAAATAGCCTAACACCAAGTCATATCAACACAAACGAAAAGTAACGCTTTCCGAAAATTAAAAATATGTATTTATATTTTTATAAAAAAACAAAAAAAAAAAACAATTATAAAAAATGTAGTATGTATGTATACGCACCTCCTTGTTGTGTATCTGATAGTTGTAGTTGTAGATAATTTTCGTCAAAATCAGCGGAATCAAGCAAATTGTAACAAAACACTTTAATCAATTGCGAATATACGTAAATAAACGAAGACGAAAATTAATAAAAATGTACACACACAAACTGCACAATACAAAACACAATAACAAAGAAATTAACAAATAACTATGTATGTATGTGTGTAGGTGAACGCACAATCACACGCACACCTAAGCGCGCACTATCAAACTAATTTATTATTCGATTCGCAGAGTCAATAAAAGGCCCAAACGAATTTCCCCCAAAATTGTTGTATGTAGGTATGTCGGCGGCGTTTCGAAATCGAATGGTGTGTCGAAGATTTTTTTTGTGCTGCGTAGAATTGTAGCGAAAACGCTGGCCTTTTGTTATTCTAAGGTAGAAATACACATTTTATTTTGTTGTGATTATGTATTTTATTTTTCACCTTTTCGCTCTATTTTTGATTTCATGTAATTTCGAGCAACACCTTTGATTTGCTTTCGCTTGCACACACTGTTTGCTTTTTTAAATGCTGAATCGATTTTTTATTTACTTCGATTTTTTTTTTATTTACTCTTCAATCACCTTTTCAAAATAAATATTTACACTTTTTATTGTATTTTCACTCCTTTCATGTGATTCTTTATAGCACGGCATGCATACATACTTTTTTTGTTTAATTTTTTTTTATTTTCCTTTTTTACTTATTATTTTTCTTTGGCTTTTTTCGTTTCGTTAAAACACTGTTTTATTCGTTGTGCTGATTTGTAATCAGTTGCTGTTTTGAAAAATTATCGTCGTTTGTATTAATTATTCAAGGGTTTCTTCAAGTATTTAGTTGTTACTTAAATTGTTGATTTGCTGGTCGTGTTGACACTGCAGTTGTTGTTGTTGTTGTAGTCGCTGTGCTATGCTGTTATCAGTTGAAAAGCACGTTTATATTTTTTATTGTTTTATTGGACGGTTTGCTTTATTTCTTTTTTATTGCTTTTTTCACTTTATCTGTGATATTTTGTTTAAACAATATTTTATCTATGAAAAATATTTTTGTATATTATAATAAGAAAATATTTTTTTTAACAAATACAGAAGAACTATTTTTAATTAAGTTTCTGCTTTAAACTTTTTTGGTATTTTTTCATTCGCCTTCCACTGCTTATTGAGTAAAACATTTCTTGGTTTTTTTCTTAAGTTGCTTATTTTTAATTTTCTCTTGTTTTTTATTTTATGAAATTGTGCTGATAGTGGAGTAGCTGAGAGCGGAAATATCACGTACTATGTAATATAAATTTAAATTTTCTAGCGCATCAAGTTTCAAAAAAAGTGGAGTCCTGTAATTAAAGGTGGAGCTTTTCAAACACAATTTTTTCCGGCATCCCAACTACAGCCAAATTAGGAAAAACTGGCGACTTCCAAATGGTGGTCAATTGTTTTTGAATACTGTAAGGCTAGTCGAAAGCAATGTATGGCTTGGAGGTTGTGGGATCGCTGCCATCTTGGAAGCAAGGGTGGTAGTCATTCCAGGACTTCAGCTAAAATATGACTTAATATTAGTTGCCATACGTGATGTAAAATTTCAATAAGCTTTTTTTTACAGTGGGTTAGAATTTCCATTTTTTAATCAAAAATCTGAAAAAAAAATTCTTAAGTTGTCAGCGACATTCTTTATATATATATATTTTTTTTTTTGTTGAAATTTTTGCAGAAATTATATTTTCTCTACTGATCTATCCAGGGAGTCTCACTAAGGGCCATTTTCTCAAGTAGCTTTTAAAATTTTAATTGCCTTGCAAACACATTTTTTTCAGAACAAAATTTGCACTAGCCTGCAAGATATTGAAATTAAAGAAAACATCGCTTTTTATTTCTAAAATACAATAAAGGAAGTATTGCTGTCTAAATTCTGATAACCAAAAAAAGAACTACAAAAAGGCAGTCGACGTCATACCTCTTATCAGCGGCAAGACGCTGTCGACAGGGTAGCATGTTCACCGGTATATTGCGAAAACAAAGGCGTGAGCAAGCGAAGGCGAGAAGAGCAAAAATTCAACGCTGAGCGTGACAGATGCGTGGAAAATTTATGTATAGTGGTGCTTACGCAGCACGCAATATCAACAGCTGAGCAATAAAGTGAAACAAAACGAAAGAAGACGAAAAAAAAACAACCCGACAAAAAAGAAACGACAACAAAGTCTTACATACAAACAACAAAACAAAGGGAAGGGTAGTTCTATATGTATGGATGCGTGCGCCACCTGCCGTGATAGTGACGTTGTGGCATTACAATTGCCCGCGGGGTGTCTGTCCTTTAGTAAACACAATACACGCTCTTATTTATTTTTATCTCTCTCAGTTGTAGATATTATTTATTTTTTTTTTTTTTTGCTGTCACAGGTAAAATCTCCGCTGTGCGGCGCAAATGCTATGCGCGTTCGTGGAATATTTTTGTAAGTTTTTTCTCGTTTTTTTCGTTTTTTTTTTTTTCTTTTTTCATTTTAGCCTTTGAGAATTTTCCATTTATTCACGCAGCATTTACTTATTATTGCTTGCTGCTGCAGTTGTCACTTTACTCGCTTTTCGCTTTTGTTTTATTTCACTTCATTCAAGTTTTGTCTAGGCATTCGATGCTTTAAAATTTTTCGCACTTGTGTGCATTTATTTTCGCTATCATGCGCTTTTTTTCTATCTTAAAAAATGCAAATCAGCTGCAGTAATGTAATGGTTGCTATTTTCATATATTTTTTTTGCTTTTATTTAATTTTGTAATGCTTTTATTTTCACCCCTTTCGCACTAACTTCGCACAGTTTGTTCGTTTTTTTTTTGCTCTTTGATTTCGCGGTTTTCTGCCACCGGTCGGTCTATCAACAACATCATTGCGCGTTAGTTGTCTAGGCTGGTTGTTATGTTCACTGGCTTGGTGCCGGTGAGGTGGTGGTGCCGGTGAGGTGGTGGTGCCGGTGAGGTGGTGGTGCCGGTGAGGTGGTGGTGCCGGGGAGGTGGTGGTGTTTGTGTCACCACTGACACCACTGACACCAAAAACAGCTGTTTGATATCGCCCAATGACTTTGATTTGTTAGGCGATATTTTTTAGTATCTATTCACATTTGGCTGCTTTGAGGATTTTGGCATTTTCATGAAGATTTTTTATTTCAGTCACGCATTTGTTTGGCAAAACGCTGATTTTTAACTTTTTATTTATTTGAAAGCGCCAAATTTTTTTCGCCATACATATATTCGCGTATTTATGGGTTTCCATATCGCTAAACATCAAAGCACCATTTTTTGTTGTACGGGGTTTCTTAAAGAAGATAGAAGACGACCGCCCCTTTAGGCTCGCACTCTCCGTAATAACTTTAACTTCTTTTCAGCCAGTCAGAAAACCAATATTCACACCCTCTCTTTCAATCAGTGTGACCAGATTATCGCAAAAAATTAAGCCCAATTGATTTTAGAACAAGGTTTGAAAATGTTAGGACCAGTGAAAAAAATCTAAAAAAAAGCAGCTCTACAAATTCAAGTGATCTGTCCTCATTCAATAAATTTTTTCACTCAAAACTTTCCTGTCGACCTTTTCTGATCTCTTACTTTTTACAATTTTTTTTTGTATGGACGTTTCAGGCCTTCAAATTCGGCTTCTTTGAAAAGGGAAAATTTCCACGGAATATATGTATATAATGATGACGCAGTACCCATTTTGACTTTGTTCCAGACACACCGCCATACGCTTGCTCCAATTCTTCCTTCATTTCACATCCTTTTCTTTCAAAACCCCTCATCTGCTTCCGAATAACAGAGCTATTCGAAGATCTTCTATAAACTACCGCATCCAAGGTGACTAAAAGTTATTATTAATAAGAGCTCCTCATTATGCCGACTGGTTTTATGATAGAGCTAGGTTAGGTTAGGAGGGCGTGTGTGGAATATTCCATACTTTCACTAGGAGACAGAAACATTGTGAGTGCGCTCTTTTAGTGAGTGTCAGGGGGAGACACGTACCTATAATTGAAAGAGTAGCTTTAAGTCATTAATTAGTATCCCTGATGAAGCCGGGGAGATCCAACAGCTTCACCTCCACTACCTCGCCCAGAGTGTCGAAGAAGCGTGAACCCAAGTGCTTGAGTCGCTTCGTCTGTAGACCTCGACATCGATCCAGATGTGGTCAATTGACTATTCCTCATCTTCATCATGGCAGCCTCTGCAGAGAGTACTTGTTGGTATACGCTACCGTTGAAGCATTGGTGCTACAGCAAAGTGCCCTGTGATGACGCCGGTAAGGACTCTAACTGCAGATCTTTTGAGTTTCAGTAGGTCTCCTATCTTTTGCCTACTAAGCCGCACACAGTCTTCCCGTTTGTTACACAAGTCATTCGTCACTGCCACGGTACATTCATCAATTTTCCTAACGTGATCACTAAACGGTAATAGTACGGAGCTATCCTCTTCTTCTATTCCCTTCAATATTGCTATGTCGGGGAACCCAGCATAGAGTGACGTTGTTATGGCTCAGCGACGCCAACGTGGTGCGACATTTCCGTACAATTTCGCTGATCTGCAGGTCCTCCGAGTAGACACCGGCTCCGGTTCCTTGTTCCATCTTTGAAGCGTCAGTGTAGATGGATACACACCCCTCTTCTACTCGCAGTCCAGTATCCCATTCTTCCCTGGTCGGAAACCTAATGGGTATCTTCGTATTGAAGTCCCAAACAGGCGTAATGTAATCAGCACTGGCTTCTATGTCAGCTTTAATTCCTTTAGCCGCCCCTTTTTATTTTATTTATGAAAATTACAGAGCTATGTTGTGTAAGAATTTATCTCAAATTCAAATTTCTAAAACTTAATCTCATTAGTCAAACATTTCGGGGTGGGATATATAGATAGTTCTCTGTAAAATTGCTTAGCATTTCTATAAAACAGTTTTTTTTTTCTCAAGATACTCAAAACGTGAAATTTAAATTAATTAAAAGGTAGCATTAAAAACCCAGAAGCTAGACCCAAAATACCGAAACTAAAACAAAAATAGAATTTCTGAATATAGCCACAAAAAGTCTAACCTGGTCACACTGCTTGTAATATCTTCTTACACTTCCTACTCTTCGAGATAGGCAACTATACTAAATTAAGC